AGTTGTGTGTTTGTATGCTTGCGTGTTCACCCGAAAATTGGGGACTGTGTGGAAAATCACTTTTGGCGAACGGATCAAGCTTGGGATGGTTGTGGCATGGGACAACATTTACAGAACACCTACAAGGTAACCTAGGCTCCGCCCACAATGGGCGGGGCATCGGCGGAAGTGAACGGTGCCATGGATAAAAATTTTTAAAACGTATCCTGAGCAACCCGAAGGATGGTAATATGCTTGAAGGGCGACAGCGGGAAGCCAGATGAAGTAAGGGAGAGACACCTCAGCAAAAGTAAGGGGCAAAAGTTATATTTTTGTCTCAAGACAAATGAGAATAGTAGTGAACATGAGGTCGAAATCGAAAATTTATAACTTATTTGTATTTATTTATTTGTTTATTTACTTATTTACCTGTTATTTATTCTACAACAATCCAAATACACCCATACTACCACTTCAGTTTTCCACTGAGCATCCAGTTCCCACTTCCCACTCCTTGACTTTACGAAAATTTTACAACCGTCCACTAGGGGGGTATATACCAAATGTGAAACGGTAATGTTCTGGAATTGCAGAAAAAAATTTTTTTCTGTGGCTAAGGTTGGAAGGCTGCCGAAGGCGGGCGATCCGACTGGGCCTCAGTAGGAATGCCAGGGACCCACTTCACACGCGGAAGGAGGATCGCCCGCCGAAGGCGGGCGATCCGACTGGTCATACTATAATGAAGTATTGGAATAAACAACTCATACTCATACGGAGTCCGCAGTAGCGAAGAAAGCGATCCAGTCAATACTGCTCAGGTATCTTTCAATTGCCCCGTAATTAGCATCATTGAAATCTCTCACCCATCTCTCAGAGGCAGCTCTATTTGAACTAAGGTTCAGACTGAAATCAACTGAGGCATGGCCGTGCTTACCAATCCGGGGAATCACTTCGACATTCTTAACTAACCCAGCATCGTTACAAAGAATTAAATCTAGCCAGGAGGAACCCCTTGTTGGTTGTTCAACAAACTGTACAAAGTTATGAGTGCGAAATAAATCAACAAACTCTTTAGAAGTAGTGCTACAGTCGTCGCTTTCCTCGTTCAGTTTTCCAATCAATATCAGCTAATTAAAATCGCCTGCCACCAAACACGGGAGATCTTGCCCACAAAAATCACTGATTGTCGACGAATGTCGACGAGACAAAATGCAATATTTGAATTTACATTTCTTGTAAATGTCGAAAGAACATTGAGGAAAAGTTTACACAAAATTTATATAGCAGATTAGCATCGTAATGGCTCAGGGTCGGTGTGACCTCCCAGTTCGACCTACCAGTCGAATTCGATGCACTTTGGACCCGACACGCACTATATAAGGGGGCCCGCCAATACACCACCGCATTTCTAACATTTTGGTTTTCTGTTTCTAATATCCAGTAACTCTTTTCCTTAGACTTTTTATTGCTAACCTAGTTTCCTTTTTTGACCTATGGTTAATTACCCAAGTTTGAGGTTCTCTGTGGTTCGTTATTATCTTATTCGCTACGAGCATTCCTATTATTGAACCACGTTACTGATTGTTTTCTGCAACAGGCTAGAATCATTAGAATTACAAAGTGGAGTTCTGTATACCAAGATTATCCTAATGGTGCACTGATCAAAAAAATGTCAGTTACAATGATTTCATAAGCATCTCGCAATGAGTCTTTGAAAATGATATCGAAAGATATGTAGTTTTTGATAAGAACTACAATTCCCCCACCCTTCTTGTAGAGTCGGTCGCATCGGATAACATCATATTGTGAGCTTGTAATTTCCTAAGAGAGGTGCCATATCATTTTTACTGCTAAGCCAGGTCTCTGTCACGAGAACCAAGTCATAGTTCATGTGATTTAGGGCTAAAACTAGTAACTAACTAGTACTAAAACTAGTTTTGAGGGCATATTGAAGTGCACGAACGAGAATCCCCACGATGGCACAGAAAGAGTCAAGCTTTTGTGTGGCTAAGAACCTCGCGCGAAAATAACCCATCTAAAATATCTTCTAAACTAGCGGGTCCTCGGGAGAACTGTAGAACTAGTTGGAAAAAGCAAGGCCTGGGCGTTTTGATGATGGTTTAGCTTGCAAAAGATTGCGTTCGAAAAAAGTTATTTTCGTATGAAGCATAAAAACGATGTGCCCCTAACCCATCCGTAACCCATCCGAAATATTTCACGAACGGGGAAGATACAGATTGCGAGTAGGTAGAAAACGGAACAGTACAAAGATGACGTTGATATGCTGCCTCCCGTTTCCCAAGAGCCCTTCTCCTGAAAAGTGATTAAGCTCAGAAAGCGCGCCGTGATTCCCTCTCATCAACAGTGAACCCACGTTCATGGGCGGCTCTTTTTGCCTGAGACGCGCAGAGTGTGGTCGATGTTGAAGCTTTTCACAGTAATACAGGCAGGTATTTCTGATTCATGCAATGTTTGTATGTCGTTACTTTTATTTAAGTGTTTATATCAAAATTATGTAGGTTATTCATGTAATAGTTTATATTTTCACCTAACAAAATTGAGATGGCCGGATATGTCTTGTACAAGCACCTAGGGGTAGTGATTTTACTTATTGTCTTTATTTGATGATTTTGGGGGCCTCATTACCTGCTTCCCAATAAGCCTACCTCGGGCGGTGGGCGGTGTTAGTGGCTCTCTCGGCTGGCTAGCAGGCAAATCGTTACGTATCTATCCTTCTCGTTAGTTCCTACAGTTAGGGCCGGAGGAGAGGGATGGGGTCTAATGACACCACCATTTCACACATCACGATGCTGTACCATGGTTGGCGAACCATATCGTTACAAATGCGATCAAAGCGAATAAATACCCATTGCGAATCGCAGCATCCGCATCTCCATAGCATTTAGTTGACGTTTTGGATTTTTGTAATCGACCAGCATTCGGATCCATACAGCGCGATGAGACGGAGTCCTGCGGTATATCTCCGATTCAAGGCAAATTGGCGTGCTCCTGTGACATAGCACCCAGTGATCTCCTACCATCGCATCCATGCCACATTCATTCTCGTTCTATTATGCTCCTATCCTATTCGCTTAATGGCCAGTCTCAATCGACAACGGCATTGAGGAATTTGAAGCCACGGGATTTCGGGATTTCTTTCTGTTGCTTCTCCTTTATTTTCCAGAAATTGATGGTAGGTTGTCTGGTCCTTATGCTTCCCAGTCTTTTACAAAGTTAATCGCCTTTTCAATCTCTTCGACTCCGAGGGGAAGGAACAACGTGTGCAAAGCCTTCTGGGATTAGCGGATCTTCGCCTCATAAAAATTTCGTTGAAATGTTGTTTCCAACGCCAACGCGTATCTGTCGCCTGCTGCGCAGAAGTTGCCTCTTTGATGCACATGCACTGCTCAATGTTTCTCGCTGCTTGTGTCATTTCATCAATCGGTAAACGCTTTTCTCCTCTTATATGGGGTCCAACCGCTCATACAAGTTTCGGCAGTGCTGTCTTAACACAACTGCGGCTTTCATAGCCTTGTCTAGAGCTGGCGCGAACTCCAAACGGATTTCTCGGCGAGCATGCTTTTGTACGCCATTTTCTTTTCCCCCACTTTCTACTTAAAGGCAGCGTCCGCGTT